ATCACATTGCACCAACCTAACTGCAAAGGAGACTAGGAGTGCAGAGCAGCCCCAGGTGTGTGATGAACATTAAATGTGTCTGCTGTAACCCTTTAGGAGGTTAAGGAAAGCTTAAAAAGGAGAGACTTTCCTATAAAAGAGTCAAATTTAGTAATATTTGACTTGGCTGCACCATTACTATATTCTGTGCAATAATAGCTTCTTCAAGGATACAGAAAAAATAAAAGATGGAGCAGTTCATATATTAATAGCTAGAATTATGGCTTTCTAAGCCCAATTACATTCACTTATATCTCCCTTTATTAATAATAAATTTTATTAATTTTCCTAATGTATGTTTTTTGTAGAGAAGTTTAATAGTCATCAAGGCTGATTATAATGTACTTGTTAATGTTTTTAATTCAATTCAAGCATAATTTGGGGTTTATGATATTTCTACAACAATTCGCATGGTTGATTGTTTCTTCCATCCAACATCCTTGTTTTCCCTGTTAGGTTTAATTAAAAATCCATTTAAACTACAATTATAGCCTTACTAATATATTTCAAAAGCTCTACACTGCATGAGAAATCTAGATTGCATCATTCTTTCATTGTAACACTGTGCTTTTTAAATTATTTAGCACTTAATCATTAATCAATTCATATTTAATCATATTTTTATAATTTTAGAAGGGTGTATGTGGTTCATAAAGTAGATGATGAGCTTTTAGTAAAAATGACTTGGGCTACTTTCAGGTCAAATTAAGAACATAAGGCAATGACCCTTAAACAACACCAAGCTGATATAATAATAAATATTATGTCAAATAAATGATAAGATTAACTATTATTTGCTTTCTTTTCTTAGAGAAACTTTTCCCATCTGTACTTGAACTGCTGTTGGCTTGCTCAAATTTAAGACAGAGGATTTAAATTATTGAATAATAAGAACATTTCTAACTACTTATCTGGGTATAGCTGTAAGGTACTACATTATTGGTCAAATATATATAAAGCCACTTGGATTGGAAAATCATATTTTGGTGTCTATGAGAAGAGTAGTAGTCTTACAAGTCATGCTTTCCCAGATTTGTAAGGATCATTTAAGGTCATTTAGCTCANATCCCATATTAGGCAATGAAGATCGGGGGAGTGGTTAATTCATAATCCTTAGTTGCAAAAAGAATTTTCTAGACCTATCAATGAAATGTGCCTAACCCATTTTTAAATTAGGGGCTCTGGGGAATTGGTGTCACATTTGAGATCAGAGGCGACTTCCAAGAATCTACATATGAAATGGGACAGTTGTACTGAGACTCTAGGTTCAATAAGAGTGCTTGAGGTTTTAACATGGTATCCTGGAAGTTAGGGGGGAACTCCTAACAATATGCCTTTTCTGCAAAAATGCAGGCTGACTTTACCTGGGTAAGGCCTTCCAGTTAAATGCCCATATTTTGTCTCCTTTGGCTGTGTGTGAATGTGAGATCATGTAAAAGATAGAATAATTCTTTAGGATTAAAAAATTATTTAAAGAAACAGATGCATATAAGAATCCTCAAACTATAGTCCAGATCTGTGCTTGAAGGGGGAGGAGAGTTGGGTCCTGCTGGTTCACAGGGAGCCTATATGTTTTCACGACAGGCTTTGTGCTCTTATTCAGGGCATTGTAATATAATGTTTCCACTGGTATTATCAAACGCTGGAAATACTTCAGAGTCAAGGCTCTTTCCACCATCCCCCACTTAAAATTCTTTCCCACTTCAGGGGCTTCACTAGGGTTGACAATGTGGAACACGCCAGCTCTCTGGCTGCCTCATTCCAGACCACCTTGATTCCCTGATTACAGTTCTGAAAGCAGGAAATAATGTTAAAGCTGCCACCTAAACCCACCCTTCTCTCACATGGCTACGTAAGCTGCTCTCTTGTTCTGCTTATGGCAAAGGCTTTCCAGGGAGATGCAGGAACTTGCAATATACACACTGAAAAACTACTTCAGTGGCATGTGGTTCCACCCTTCGCATATCCTGAGCAGTGGTCACATTTCCTTGAGGAAATCATACCCAAGTACACTGAAGACAAAGTGTTACTGAAATATCACAGCCTCGATACTCAGGGAGGGAAACACCCTAACCTGTCCCCTGCTCGATAACCTAGGTGGTGCTGCAGTAACAGACCAATGGAAATCTCAGAGGTGTAAAACAGAGTTTTGCTCATTTTCAAAGTCCACTGGGAGCCCATAAGCTCTATAGGGCAGCTGCTTTTCAAGCAGTGATACAGGGATCCAAGAGGGCTGATACCACCCAAGGCTGAGGCTGTATCTTCTCAATGGAGGCCAGACCAATCAACTTGAAAGGAAAAGTAGGGTCTGGAGGTTGCACAGGGGCTCACGGCCCCTTGGTGGCCAGGACAGGGCAGAGCTCACTCCTTGCACATCCATCAGCCAGGAGCAAATCACATTGCACCAACCTAACTGCAAAGGAGACTAGGAGTGCAGAGCAGCCCCAGGTGTGT